GCATACTTCAGTATAAATTAGGTAGTAATAAAGTTAGATTGGAAAGGATACAGATGACAGTGAGGTGAAGCAAATGCTCAACACGAAAGAGTACATTTCTAAAACATCAAACGAAACGTTAGCACATTTCTGAGCTTTACTTAACCACTTGCCCTCCCAGAGGATTTACCGCCCTTCCTGACCAGGTCATTTTTCGCGATACGGCGCTGTGTTAACTGACAATTGCGTTGTCATGCAACGCAGCACCCAAATTAAATTTATATCCTTTTTTGCCCCACAAATGGAGCTTTCTTTCAGTGGTATTTGATCGCCTGTGTGGTTTTAATTTTTTGTGCTATAAACAAAAAAAGACTGACAATTTTGGAAAAAGAACAATATTTTTGACTTTTTGCTATAAAACATATCCAGTAAAAAAAAATTGTAAAAATCAAATTATGTCAAATTTAGGTCACAATATATTCTGCTACATGTCTTTTCTATAAAAAAAAAATCCCAATATGTGTGTAAATTAATTGGTTTACATTATGTATGTCTTCCTGTTTGTATATTCTAAAGAAAACTAATAATAATAAAAATATATTCAACATTAAAAAAAATACATTCTGTATGTCTTCCTGTTTGTATATTCTAAAGAAAACTAATAATAATAAAAATATATTCAACATTAAATTAATTTGTTTATGTGAAAGTTATAGTATCTGCAAATGGTGGTATATATACTGGAATTTTATTTATACTAGTAATGGCGGTGATCAGCGTCTTATAGAGGGACTGCGTCAGCCATTCTGACACTGGGGGGGAATTAACTGTCATTGACATCCCCAGTGACACTAATACAGTAATCAGTGCTAATAAAAAAGCACTGACACTGTACTAATGACACTGGGCAGGAAGGGCAGCTTTTGCGCAGCTCTGCCGCCCTGTAGCAGTAGTTTTGCTATAGGGCGGTTGGGAAGCGGTTAGCATACATTTTGTATGGTTAAACAAATTATCCTATGACTGGGGGATCAAAGTTCAGGTTCAATAAAGGATCACTGTGGTATTTTTTAGTGTTACTAAACCCACAACAGTAAAATCAATCTGTATGTGTAGTAAAGCATGCTTGTCATATTCACTGTGAAACCTAAAGGGTTAATCCTGTGCATTGTGTAAAAAGGATGTTTGATCCTGACTTCTCTGCTCCTCCTCTTGTTCAAATGTCCACAACTTATTCTCTGATAAGAGAGACTGAACTAATTGGTTTGTTTGAAAGGTATAGTGTCTACAAACTATGGAATATATACACTGGAATTTACGCAGCAATAGATGATATACTAATTGACTGACTGATTTGATAGCATGCTCCTGAGTCCTGGTTGGAATAGCTCTGCTAGTTTCATACATGGATTGCACACAAAGAAAACTTCCAACAAGCTGAAATGGTCTGTAAATCAACATTATTAATTTTTATTGTTTTCATTTCACAGCAGGGCCGGGAAAAGGAGTGGGCAGGAAGGGCAGCTGACTTGGGCACAGCAAATCAAGCGGACAGAGAATGAACACAGGGCATTACACCCATTCTACAAAATGCATTAGCAGTAGGAAAGGGGGTGCAGTTACCCATCCTTGCCCTGGTCGCTGGATGAACATGTCCTGGTACTGGTTCAGTGACAATGTTTTGTGAGTTGTGTTGGAGATGTGGTTTGTATTAGATGAGGTAGACCAGCTTCCGTGGACCATTCCTGGCATGCGAACGTTATCCTGTTATAGTTTTTACACATATGAAGACTCACTAAAAGCAGTATGCTTGGTGTGATAAGACTGGTAAAGCAAGAAAGATTGGCTGGCAGGGTCAACAGGTATTTTTAAGCAAAAGAAGAAATAAAATTACAAAAGACAACAATAAAGAATCGGAAGATAAAATAATAAAGAAAAATAATAAACTAGTTAAGCTAAGGGTGATTTTCTCCATGAAGGAGAAAAAGGTCCACCATTATCAGACACTAACGAGGACTCACAGAATTGGGTAGGGTTATGAGGGAGGCACCCCGGTGTGTGTGTGTGTGTGTGGGGGGTGCTCTAAAGCTTTGCCAGTTTCCAATCACCTAAAGGTACAAGCCTATAACCCTCATGGTGTATGAATATTCTGCCTGTGTCCTATACGGTATGATAAAGATATACAACAGGCAAGTTTAACAAACCATCATAGCATAAAAGACTTATATCTTCAATATTAAATTTAGAGATAACATACACTTTAAGTATGCAAAAAATAAATATTTGAAATATTGCTTCACCTATGCTTTCCCACTCACTTCATGTCATTTCAGCAGAATCTAAATAAATATTTATTAGGGTATCAAACATTCAAAGGGAAAATGTGCTGACATAATCACGCATATCAGCTGACAGACCAGGAATTCCTTGGGGTTTTTTTTTTTCCATTTGCTAGATTTTATAGAAAAACATTTTCAATTTTACAGGGAAAGACTTAGTGAAGGCATAACAGGTTATGACAAAGTATGAACACTAAAATGAATACAAGGTATAACAATTGAGCTATATAATCTCTCTTTACCAAAGCAAGTCATATGCCTAGGAGAAAAAAAACTTGAAGGGAAGACAAAAGCGAAAGGGAGAGAAAAAGGGTGAGATTTAAGGAGGGGAAAAGTGTGAACAAAAGGGGGGAGAGCAACAGGGTATTCTGTTTAAACACCACCATATTCCGCAATACAAGATAAAGAATACAACACCAGTGTAATTGGAGTTAGGAATTTAGCTAACCTTAATCCAAGATTCTACAGCAGAAGAGGGTGACAATCACTTCATGGCTATCGGTTTCCTGGCTATGCATCAATAACAAATGACTTATGACCACAGTCAGCAAGGGGTTCTACTCTGGAGGCTCCAGCCAACTCAAGACACAAGTAAGTGTAGCAAAGGTATATTTGGGAAATGAACAGCAGAACGACTATGTTCACTATCCAATATTTATACAGTCATTCAGGTGTTCGATATGAAGAATGTAAAGTTGATCTTTTGGAGTTTGATAAAGGGATAGTGGGAATTACTTGTAGAATAAATTCCCATTGCTCAGCTCAGCAGAGACCTCTCTCAGGAATTCCTTTTTTACAATGATGAATGGTACCAATTTCTTTTAAAATGTGACTGTTCAATTTTTAACTTCTAATAAGGCGGTTTTCCAGTACTTACTGCACTATGGAGGTCACTTCTCTTTGTATGTTCTCCTGTTACATATACTAGAGAGCAGAACCATCTATTGTTATCAGCTCTTATGACAACTCATATATTGGGGGTCATTGCGTTCTGGTAAGCAGTTTGCCTGGTTGTTCTAGGTCAGTGGTCTCCAAACTGTGGCCCGGGGGCCAGATACTGCCATTGCTGACCTTTATCTGGCCCATAAGGCACTATTCCTCCAACTGACATCACTGATGGGGCACCATTCCTCCCCACTGATACCAATGATGGGGCACTATTATTTCACTGACACCAATGATAGGCACTATTCCTCCCACTGACACCAATGATAGGCACTATTCCTCCCACTGACACCAAGAGTGGGGCATTATTCCTTCTACTGACACCAATTATAGGGCACTATTTTTTCCTCTGACACCAATGATGGGACACTAGTCCTCCCACTGATACCATCGACAGGGCACTATTCTTTCCACTGACACCAATGATAATGCACTATTTCTTCCACTGACACCAATGATAGGGAACTATTTCTTCCAAAGACACCAATGATAGGGAACTATTTCTTCCAATGACATCAGTGATGGGAAACTATTCCTTCCACTGATACCAATGATAGGGCACTGTTTCTTCCACTCACAACAATGATGGGGCACTATTTCTTCTAAGGACACCAATGATAGGGAACTATTTCTTCCACTGACACCAACAATGGGGCACTATTACTCCCACTGACACTATCAACAGGGCAGCATTCCTCCAACTGACACTATTACCAGGGCAGAATTCCTCCAACTGACAATAATGATGGGGCACCATACCTCCTACTGACACCATCAGTGGGGAACTATTGCTCCCACTGATACCAATGATGGGGAATTGTTTACTGCCACTTTTGCCAGGGCATTTTCTATTCCCACTGGCCACAGTCTGGCCCTCCTAAAGTCTGAAGGATAGTAAACTCTCACTTTGTTTAGAAAGTTGGGAGACCCCTGCTCTAGGGGATACATTTCTTACTGATAGTGTCACTTATTAGAGTCTCACTGTGTGTGCACAATTGTTCACGATTGGTTTTACACTTATGTTTACGTGCACTCTACCATTTTGTATTTGTGGACTGATTTCATATTTATGTTTTTGGATTGATTTTGCATAAATATTGCATAAACCTTGTTCCCCAGAACATTATACCTGGCATTTGACAAACTGACCTTTATTGCCTAAAGCCTTCTTCAACAACCTAGATAGCTTGAATACCATATAGTGAAACAATATCAGAACTGAAGTCTAAATCTAACTTCAAGCCTACTCACCTGATTCTTTCTTTGGCAGTGTTGAAGAGGAGAAAGGATCTCTACTCTCAAAGGGATCAGACTGTTGTGGAAGAAAAATATATAAATTAGTGACTGATTAAATTTCAATAATTTAACTCATGCTTAACTATTACAGGGGCCGGTATTTCATCAATGGAGACATTCTACTTACTAAAAGTGGGAATTGCCGTGAGACCTGTTGGTTACCATGGACAGAATTCGGGTTAACACAACAAATGCACTGTTTACACAAAATATAAAAATTATTTTTAAAAAGCTATTGAATTTATCTGGTTGGATTTGTCTAACCTTTAATGGCAGAGTCATGGAGTGGACACTATTCTTTGTGAAAGGATCAGCAGAAAAAGGGTCACTTTTGTTGGGTTTCTGGAAAGGGTCATCAGTAGAGTGAGCATGGAATGGATCAGTTTCTTTAAAAGGATCATCACCAAAGGGATCTGAAGAAGAAAGGGTTATTGTGTATTCAGCTCAAGATATTTTATTTAGAATCCAAAATGTGCGGCTCCTTAGAACACTGTGATGCACTTACTGCTCTTGAAAGGGTCCGCCCCTTTAAAAGGGTCTGAAGTAAAGGGATCTTCGGTTTGGAATGGGTCAGTGTAGAGGTCTTGGTTGTTGCTGCTGTTGAAAAGGTGGGATTTACTTTTAAATGGATCATCCTGTGAAGAAAGAAGAAAAAAAATTATGAATGAGTTATTTTAAAACCAACATGAGAAGTATTTGTACCCTTCCCGAGTCAAACACAGCAATGTAACCTTGTCATGTTTAAATCCCATGTAAAAGACAATTATTAGTTACACTGCTTGCAGCTCATTGCTAAACTAAAACACATTAAACTACAACTTTATGGTGACTGAAAAAAAAAAAAAAAAAAAACAATCTGGTTGGAAGTTTATTTTTTTACATAAAACAGACTGGACAATCCATTCTCAAAACAAACCAAATCTATGTTTGAATTTTTAAAAAAAGTAATTAGTCTATCAGATGCATTTCCAATTAATAGAACCTGCATAAATGAATTTGACTTGACATGCAAAATATGTATACATATACAGTGCATTCATAAAGTATTCAGACCCCATTCACTTTTTCAGTTTTGTTATGTTGCAGCCCAATACTACAGTTGTTTAAATTTTTTTTTTTTTTTTCCATTAATCTACATTCAGTACGCCATAATGACAATGTGAAAAAAGAATTTTAGAAATGTGTGCAAATATATGAAAAAGGAAAAACACATAAGTATTCAGACCCTTTGCAACAACACTTGAAATTTAGCTCAGGTGTCTCCCATTTCTCTTGATTGTTGCTGAGATATTTCTACACCTTGACTGGAGTCCACCTGTGGTAAATGAAATTGCCTGGACATGCTTTGGAAAGGTACACACTTCTATAAAAGGCCTCTCAGCCCACTCAATGCATACTGTATCAGAGCAAAAGCCATGAGGTCAAAAGAACTGCCTACAGAGCTGAGAGACAGGACTATTGCAAGGCACAGATCTGAGGAAGGCTACAAAAACAAAATTCTGCTGCACTGAAGGCCCCCAAGAGCACAATGACCTCCATAATTCTCAAAAGGAAGAAGTTTGGCACAATCAGGACTCTTCCAAGAGCTGGTCGCCTGGCCAAACTGAGCAATCGGAGAGAAGGGCCTTAGTAAGAGAGGTGACCAAGATCCAGATGATCACTCTGACTGAGCTCCAGAGATCTTGTGAGGAGATGGGACGAAGTTCCAGGAGGACAACCCTTATTGCAGCCCTCCACCAATATAGGCTTTATAGCAGAGTGGCTAGATAGAAGCTTTTTCCTCAGTGCAAAACACATGAAAGGCCACTTGAAATTTGCAAAAAAGCACCTGGTGGTCTCTCAGACTGTGAGGAACAAGATTCCCCGGTCTGATGAAACCAAGACCTCAGACTGGGCCAATGGTTCACCTTCCTAAGCACAGCCAAGACAACACAGGAGTGGCTTAGGGACAACTCTGTGAATGTCCTAGTGTGGCCCAGCCAGAACCCTAACTTGAACCCTATTGAACATCTCTGGAGAAATCTGACAATGGCTCCCCATCCAAATTGCCTTAGCTTGAGAGGATTTGCAAAAAACAGCAGAAAACCCCCCAATTGAGGTATGCAAAGCTTGTCGCATCATACCCAAAAAGACTTGAGGCTGTAATTGCTGCCAAATGTGCTTAGGAGTATGGAGTCTGAATACTTATACAGAGCTCCACCCAAAAGGGGAAGTTCCGCTTTAAAGATTGGTCCCCCTCTCCCTGTTAAGGATTGGCACCTTGAGGGAGTGGGTACCCAAAATCGACAGGTACCCACTCACAGTTCCGCTGCGATCACCTAGCTGTCACAGCCACGTGCCCACACTGAAGATGCTGGCACCAAGAACACCGTGGGATCAAGAGACAGGTAAGTGTCCATTTTTTAAAAGTCAGCAGCTACAGTTTTTGTAGCTGCTGACTTCTGTTTGCACTGGAACTCCGCTTTAAGCACATGTGATATTTCAGCTTTTTGCTTGTTTAATATTTTTATTGAGTAAAAAATTTACCAAACTTAACGTTGTTTGTCATTCAAGTGTTTGTGTTATGCAAAAGCATAGCAAATGATGGGTATCAATATCAAGTGCACAAACAAAAACAGCACCAAGGCTCCATGTACGCCAACGGTTTATTTATTTATTACAGGTACTTATATAGCACTGTGAATTTACGCAACACTTTTACATATATACACTGCATAACTGCCTAAGAGCTCCACAATAGTAAGCGTGCAAAACTTTCTATTTAACTCACACAATGGAAAGGAGTAGATAACAGGGTAATGAAACAGAGAGCAGAAAAGGGGAGAGAGGGAAGAAGCGCAGGGGGTCCAGTAGAAGTCACAGTGGGCGAGCTAGTGTCTAAAGAAGCCATTTGGTACAGGTGTGAGTATGAATAAGGTTTCCCGTAGGGACTGATCGAAGTCCTGTTGTAAATAATTATCGACCCATGGCTGCCAGATTTTTTGCATTATCCTGTGCTTCACCTCAAGGAGACAAATAGTTTAAACTGCGAGATAGTTACATCTGGAAGTCAAATATTAAGAAGTGCCACCATTGGGTCAGGCATTAATGTCGCACCACAAACCGTGGATATCATGCAAAATATCTCAGCCCAGAAATCCATCACGATAGGACAAGACTACCATACATGCAAATGGGTTCCAAAAACTGTGCAACCATGACCGCAATGGGAAGGATAAATATTTCAGTTTTATCTTTTTAATAAATTCACAGACATTTCTAAAATTCTGTTTTCACTTTGTCATTATGGGGTACCGAGTGTAGATTAATGAGGGAAAAAAATGAATTTAAACAACTGTAGTATCAGGCTGCAACATAACAAAATTGAAAAAAGTGGAAGGGAGTCTGAATACTTTATAAATGCACTGTAAATCCACATACACACTGAAGTACAGTTTCTTTCCAAGAGCTGTACTATTACTTCATCGCACACAAACTCCCAATAGTAATGTGTATTGATATTTTATCTTTTAAATGCAAATATTGCATTAGTATCCTTTTTTTCAGCAGTTTTACATTAGAGTTTAGCTGCGCTTCTCCACGTTTGCGGTTTTTAGCGTTTTTAACACACACAAGATAAAAAATTTTTGCTAAAAAAAAATGCCCAAAAATGCCAGTTTGCTGCATTTTTACAGCTAAAAAACTCTAGAAACCCACTAGTTCTGGGGGGGGGGGGGGGGGGGTTCTAGCCAAAAAACACTGATTAAAGCCTATGTGTGCATGGAGGGAAACAAAAAGAGGAAACAATGACAGAGGCACAAGATGCCTAAGTCAATCGAGTCCAAAAGAGGTCAAACTGCAGCTTGTAATAAGAAAAATGTATAAATCTTTAATTGCAGTAAAACACGAATCAATACACATGGTAAAACAAAACAATGATGAAAGGAGAGAGCCTCACCACTTCCAAAGAGAAAAATAGAAGAGAATGCAATGGTTGTCCGGGGTGACGCCACACATGCTATAGTTCGTTCCAGCACCAAAAAAAGGTTATTGAAAACCCAGATAAAATGGGTGTAAGATGTGGGAATAGGAGGAATAGTGCCAGAGAAAACTATAGAATAAAAATAAAAAAAAAAAAAAACATTTTGTTTTTTTTATGTGGATTTCTGGAGTATTTTTTGAGCAATTTGTAAATTTGCAATTTTGTAAGTCTCTTTAGTACAATTATTCATATTGCTTTTCAAGTTTTTCATGGAATTTGTCACTATTACTGTGTGTGTCTTATCCTATACATCCCTACATATTACTTCTCTCTTTTTAACATATTGGAGATACATATCTTTCCAACTTTGATCATCTAATTTGTTGTGGATGTATGGGATTAAAATAGACGTTTTCTGTCCCCTGCTAAATTGTTTTATAATTCACCTTGGTGTAAAACACTCCCATCTGAATGTCATTGGTTGATTTTTATGCCAATCATTAGTAATTATCTGTTACGATTCTACTATTGGTTAGAATGAATCTATCTTCTGATATAAAAGACTCCAAAAATATGGCTGACGATCATCTGAAGAAGCCCAAGTGACTCGGTGGGCGAAAAGCTTAATGTCACTTCCAGGTGACGACAGCACAACAGGATCCTGATGAAGCTACGAGGGGCGTGGCGTACCGTGTAGATGTGACGTAGTGACGCACTTCCGGTTTGGCGCCATATTGCTACACCAGAGTGCCTCAGTACACCCATGTGAGGTGTCACAAGCCCTGTTTCTGCTTAAATGTGAGTTGTTACTTGGAGGTTTTATTCAGAATAAATGTTTTATACAGTTTTGCACTATGGAGGATCTTTGTGCTTTTTTTCCATGACTATCATCACCGCATGAGTTTTAAAAGCATATATACAGCGGTACCTGTCCAGGGGGAATAGCAGATGGTGAAGGAGAGAGCATTGGAGAGTGTGGAGTACCTTTCACCCAGAGGAAGCGTGCAGGGTCCAGGTGTGACCCGTAAGGCTTTTTGGCCCCTGTGGGTCTCAGGGGGAAGGTGAGCGGGCATGCTAGCCACATAAGGATTGTCACCTACCACTTGCACTGGCACAGGAGCATGTGTTTTCATCTAATGTGTGTCTATATATCTACACTGAATACTGTGGACTATACTATTTATCCTGCTACTAGAACCACCGAGGAGTGTTGATCCATACTCCACAGAGGGAATCACTGTGTGCCACGATGGAGTAGGTTGTTTGACACAGAGTGCACTGTTTTTCACTATTGAAATCCACCTTACTGAATTGGGATGTATATTTGTGTTTAATAGATATCGATTGTGTATCATATGCAAAATATGATAGCGCTACATCAATATTTAATATTTAAACTGCAACTGTGCCTTCATTTTTAATATTTCAGAGACATACTATGCATCAAAATGTAGGCCTGGGTCTTGTAATTATCCCAATATAAAGCTCTTTGGTGTAGGATTTATAATTTTTAAACTACAACCGTTTGAAAATGGCAACCGCCAGTGAAGTGAGCAAGTTGGAGTAGTTTGTTTTTAACTGCTCTTCTCTGCCCTTGCTGTAGAGTGTGTTGCCATAGGAACCCAGGTGTGTGAGCAGGCAGCAGAGTGACAAAAGCTAGAGTGTGAGTTGTAGACTACTGGTGGAGCCAAGAAAACACATTTCCCCAGAAATTGTAGCTTTTCTAGTTATCATTATCATATTTACTATCCATCAACTTTTCATGTGATATCTAGATAACTGTTTAGAAATCTAGAAAAGCTACAATTTCAGGGGAAATTGTGTGAAGTTTTCTTGCCTCCACCAGTAGTCTACAACTCACACTCTAGCTTTTGTCACTCTGCTGCCTGCTCACACACCTGGGTTCCTATGGCAACACACTCTACAGCAAGGGCAGAGAAGAGCGGTTAAAAACAAACTGCTCCAACTTGCTCACTTCACTGGCGGTTGCCATCTTCAAACGGTTGTAGTTTAAAAATTATAAATCCTACACAGAAGAGCTTTATATTGTGAGAATCACAAGACCCAGACCTACATTTTGATGCATAGTATGTCTCTGAAATATTAAAAATGAAGGCACAGTTGCAGTTTAGATATTGCCCTTCAAATTTGAGGTGGCTAGAGTGGAGTTTCAATGAATGTCAATGGGCGGCGTGAGTTGCAAACAAATGGTCATATTGTGAAAACTATCAGGACTATGGCTTAGCCGTGGACATTTGTAGTGGCAGCAGGGATAGCTGAACGTTTTGATATAAGATTTGTGTAGGTGGGCTTGAAAATGAGGGAGTGATGGCAGTTTAGAAATCATGTCCTGATTTTTCTGCTCCCACTCTAGTTTTGAACATTCCGCCATTCATTCCTATGGGACCAATTTCACCACAAAAACGCTGATATTTCGTGAACCATTCGGCGAACCGTTCCACAAAGTAATAGCACACCAATCGGGAACAATCCGCACGTTTCGGTATATTACGGTATATGTAGTGTAAAAACTGTGGGAGGAGTTAGGGTGGTAAATTTGGCTATAGTAATTAGAATATATATGTGAGATGACAGTAAGTGGTCTTGCCATGCAAGAACACTTAATAAGTGGACTATGTTTTAAATTTACTTTATGACCTAGATTTCTATTCCATAGTTTTCTCTGGCACTATTCCTCCTATTCCCACATCTTACACCCATTTTATCTGGGTTTCAATAACCCTTTTTTGGTGCTGGGACTATAGCATGCCTGGCGTCACCCCGGACAACCATCGCATTCTCTTCTATTTTTCTCTTTGGTAGTGGTGAGGTTCTCTCCTTTCATCATTGTTTTTGTTTTACCATGTGTATTGATTCGTGTTCTTACTGCAATTAAAGACTTATACATTTTTCTTATTACAAGCCGCAGTTTGACCTCTTGTGGACCCGCTTGACTTAGGCATCTTGTGCCTCTGTCATTGTTTCCCCTTTTTGTTTCCCTCAGTTATGTTTGGGTCCTGAGGACACCACATGGCTATCTCCATGTGAGTCGGCATATTTTCTATTTATATTGAGGCCAGTATTTAGTTCATTACATAATTGTGACCCCCCTTTTTCCTAGGTATTCTCACTATAGTCCATAGCTGGCAGTGTCCCGGTTATCCCCCCCCCCTCTTTTTCTATATATGTGTGCATGGACAATAGGTTAACATGCTGGGTAGTTTACTGGCTGCAGAAAAAAACGCCAAAAAGCCAAAAACAGCAGCTGTAATAACGTCCAGTGTGCATGAGGACTTATAATGTTTGCAATACTTTGAATACATCTGTACTATTTAAAAAGGCTTTTGCTTACATTTAATTTGTATACATATATATGTTTTACTGGTGCATATATATTTATGTGTGGATACCATATATGCTAAATTACTGCAGAAGTAATAAGCTTAAGGTTTCATTCACACTGGCACTGTCAAACCTGCTTTTAGGAGACATTTGGAAACACATAAAAATGCATGCAATAATATTTAAATGATGTCATTCACACTGGATGTTTACCTGTCTTTAGAGAAAATAGAATCCTGTGCATCCGATTAGACATACTAAATGCATAAAAATAGATGTAAAGATGGCTAACCATGCTTTAAAGCCAAACACAGGAGTGGCAGTGTGAATGAGGCCGAAGCCATTCAAACTAAAGCTTTGAGGCAATGTGGATAAGTTAGAAGTCTCTGTAACACAATATGCCAAATAACTGCATATACAATAGTTCCAAGTGACGCAAGTATATTAAAGTGTTACTAAACCCACAACAGTAGGTCTGTATATGCAGTAAAAGCATTGTTATACTCACTGTGCAACCTAAAGGGTTAATCATCTGCATTGTGTGAAAAGGCTGTTCTGTTTGATCCTGTCTTTTCTGATCCTCATCTTTTTTTTGCTGTCCCCAATCCATCTTTTATAGTTAGAGCAACAGTGGTAAGTTTGCACATGCTGTGTTTGGTGTGTATTGCTAGAGTGTTTTTTTTTTTCAATGGGAGGGTGCATGTGAGCAGCACAGGGTCAATCACCACTGTCCAGACAGAGGGTCTGGGGTTATGCAGCCTCACAGGACAGTCAGAGGAGAATGAAAACTCCTCCAACAAGAATAACCAGTGCGCGGCTGGACATTGATAGTAGTCACAAGACTGCTCTAACTGCTAATGAGAAAAGGAATTTAGCTGTTTATATTTACTAAAATAAGTGCACTTCCATGTTCTGTGTTTTGTGAAAGCCCGGATATAGTGAATGCAGGGTCATGGGGTAAGCAACATTTTAATCTTATATATAACCATTTTAAATGTAAATGATCATTTATTTTCTAAATCTAAAGAGGTGGAGAATTGGTAAGCACCAAAAAGTATCAATTACAACGCAAGAAAAATAAAACAAACTACTCAGCCAACGGGCAAACCATTACAAAATGTTTGTTACCAGGAACCACTTTCTTTAGGGCCTGAACCAGTTCTGTTTCTCACCGCTGATGTGGAAAGGTCCAGCCTCTCTCTTGAGGAAAATGTCTCGGCATCTGCAAGATTATTCAGACTGCCCCCATGATCTCCATTGAGAGCATTGTTATATTGCTCAATGCTTTTGTTCATTTCTTGTTGACTCTCCTGGAGCTGTGATAATTTACTTCGAGCCTGAATTAAAGAGAAGCAGTTTTACAGTTTAATTTGTTTACTAATACTTCTAAACAAGCAATGTGCAGTAAATGCTACTACATAAAACCACTCTGAGCAAAAGGTTAATTATAGGTTTTCTACTGTAAGTAGTAATCAACTTTCCCCACAACCCAAAATCCAAGGTACAGGTAGCAGTCCAACCACAATGCTGTATGAAAGCAATGGTCTCTGGAGTGGTCCAACAGATCTCCAACAGTCCCAACTAGAAATCTGCAAGGAGAATGAGCTTTGCTGATGGCAGAGCTCTGACTCTGTGGGGTGCATGTTGAACCACTGCAGAGAGACTACTGCTCTCACACTGAGCCTAGTGGTCAAACTCTGCAACCTGTTGCCTGTTTTTTGGAGTTTTTGGTTGGTTCCAGGGACCAATTTGACTGCACTATGAGTTTTATCTTAACTTTTTGCACACTTTGGAATGTATCTAACTTTATTTAGATGACATTTAGATTTTAATAAAAAAAGGATACTCTGACCTGCTGGACATCTCACACATCCTATATTCCATTAAACAAGAATACATGAACCACTATGCCAGGTTAGCATCAGCAGGGGAAAGGAGGGACTTTGCATGAGGCCCTTGGACACCCAAGATGAAGTTACAGACTAAATTTTAGAGCAGGTATCAAACTTTTGAAAAGCACAGGAAATATGAATGTGAAATACACAAAATATTAACATGGATAATCCTGATGGCTGTCCTTTTTAAACATCACATGTTCACTTCAACACTTTAAAGCCAAACTCTAGATATGATTTTTATTGCATACTTACAATGGTCCAGTTTGGGCCAATACAAGTATGCATATCTCATACCTGAGGTCCACTGGGAAAGCTGACAATCACTATAGACGTCGGTGCTACCACAGTGACAGCTGCAATCCGCTTGGCCCTGTGCAGAACAGCTTACCCTATATGCACAATGACCACAGGGGGTCACTCATGCTGCCTGTGCCGCCTTCATGATCATGACATAACCTCCCCTTATAACCACCTTGTCCAGTCAGACAACTACCTTGTTCTTATGCAAATAGCCATTTACTCATTGAAAAAAAGGCGTTCTGTGAATGGTGGCAGTACGGGCAATTCCATTGTGGAAAAAAAGTACTACGTTCATTACACATTTTTCGGTGCAGCGCTGTGCAAGGCAATACATTACCTCGCATCACAAGGTGGCCAACTGATGTTTATTAAACTGACTGTGAAATTTCATGGGAAAAAAAAAACAAAAGTGCGATGCACTGAGAATGGCGCATCAGCACTATGCTGATCTGGCTGGATCACACTGCACACCAACTGCTGCATTGTAACACAGTGGCTGATGTGAACATACTATTACATTGTGTCCAGCTGGACCAATATAACTATGCAATAAGGATTATACAGGGAGTTCAGCTTTATTGATGGCATTTACATTTTTGACAATTACAGAAAGAAAAGCAAAATGTAATAATGTGTTGCATCAAAAGGATAAGATGAGGAGGATGAAACCCAGACAAACCACATCCTTAAAGACACATAGTGACTTGAAAGGTTAAAAACAACAGATACTCTGAATTAAGACTCAAGTAAATATAAACGTGCAGGTGGCATTTGCGGCTGGGGAGACAGAAGTGTCTAAAGACGCTCCTGAACTTTTTACAAGATATATCTACATTATTTCAAACCTCTGCATGTGAAAGGAAACTTTTCATAAAATAAATAATCTACTGTTGCCAATCGCCTTCTGAAAATGCTAATTCCCTGGCTGTCGTGCTAATAACCTGAAAATCACTAAATAAACCTTTAAAGAAGCCTTTCTTAGCCCACTAGGATCTATTCTTTACATATAGCCCAGCTAATGGAAAAAAAAATATCAGTTTAAGTTGAACATTCACAAAGTTTATGATGTGGACTGCATTATTTTCTAGGACTTAGTCTAGGTTCACACCTATACAGGTTGCGTTTGATGCGTTTCTGCATCGTGTTTTGTGTTGCATTTTTACACTTGCGTTTTTTACGCGTTTTGCATTTTTTTTTTAAATATTTTTCTTGTTGCTAGGGAGATTTGAAATGCAAAACTCATAAAAATACAGCAAAAAAAGCAGCTTTTCTGCAACGTTCTCATTGAAATCTTTAGAACCAAAAATGCAATGTTTTGCGTTCAAAAAAGTCCCTAACCCTTTGCAAAACACACACCAGGTGAAAATGCAGAGATGTAAACCTAGGAAATCATGTTAAATGGACTGTACTGTGCTTCTGCAAAACGCTGCAGAAAACGCTCATGTGTGAACTTGGGGTAACATGCTGCACTGGCACATAGGTCTGAGATGGAGTAGAGATGGATTAGAACACCTGTCAAGTTTTATTGTTGTCTGTGTCCCCATTAGGAGATTTACCCTCTATTTGTCCTTTTCACCATTATCATTGAAAGTAAAAGAAAATCCCGAATTTTGGGCTGTCTCCAGAAAGTAATAAAAGGGGAAATCTTCCAATGGGGACACTAGTTCTGGTGACCTCGAGGTCCCCAAGGGATCCTTTTAATTTGCAAAGATTTCCTCTCACTTCCTGTTTTCGCTATAGGACAGGACATGAAGGTAAATCTCCTCAAAGGGACACAGATGGCAATAAAAAATATAGAAGTAACCGTGTCATGCACTAGGATCAGCCACTGACACTGTTCCTGCCAGCACACACTTGCAGCCATTTAATCAGCGCAACTGTCTGGTGAGAATGAACCCTACATTAAATATTATGCAATTTTACCTGGAAGAATCACAGAGAGAATACGTGTTATTTTCTGCTGTTGTTTTAAAGGCGGGAAAATCAGGAAGTTGCATATATTTTGTAAAAGCGGAGTTCCACCCAAAAGCGGAAGCTCTGCTTATCTGCCTCCTCCTCCCCTGCCACATTTGGCAGCTTTTGGGGGGAGCAGGTACCTGGTTTTGACAGGTACCCACTCCCACTTCCGCTCAGTTCGCTGAGCCGAACTGATGTGGAAGTTCGGCTCCCCCCCCCCCCCAAAGTCCTCTGGAACATTGCACAAGTCCCAGACGATTGCAGCCCATTCAAAAAGAGCAGCGTGATTTGCACATGCGCAGTTAGAAACCGACTGTAAAGCTGCAAGGCTGCATTGCTGGTTTCCCCTAGTCAAGATGGCGGCGCCAGCACCTGATTGAAGAATTGGCTTGGGGTGCGGACACAGCAAGATCCTTGGACCGGTAAGTGCCTTAATATTAAAAGTCAGCAGCTACAGTATTTGTAGCTGTTGACTTTTAAGTATTGGGATGGGGGGGGGGGGGGGGGCAGAACTCTTGCCTTGTGACAAATTACAGCACATTGATGTTGAGTAACTTCTCTATTCTGAATAATAGAGCTAAATAATGTTTTCAGTTATTCTATTTAAAACATACAGCTGGTGCATACATTTTTAATGCTGAAGTTTAATCTGTTTATATGTGCCTTCCCCAGTTCCCCCCCCATCAAAATGCTAATGATTTTTTCTCTAGATAACATGTTTTCTTTCATGCAGCCCTGATGAAGTCACGTGTACCCGTGACGCAACGCGTTGGCACGCCCTGACGACACTTCCGGTACGCGGTGACGTCACTTCCGACGTACGCGCCATATTGGGACTCCAGGTACACCCGCAGTACTAGGACAACATGAGGACTTGCTACATGTTTTAAAACCATTGCAGAAATGTGAGTGTGGGCATTTTTTGTATCTATATTTTACAATAAAATTACAGTATCACGCTATGGGAAGTTTTTTTTGTGTCTCTGAGCATCATCTGGTGGTATACTACCACCATTAACAGCGGCTGGAGGTGGTTTTGGAATACAGCATTTGAGGTGGAATCTACTGTGGACCTGAGACCGGTTGACATCTGAGGGTTATACCCTATATGTTACAAAGGCGTATTGGCCCTTGCGGTCAGTGCGGGGAGGTGAGGAGGCACTCAGACCATTATAGGATTGTGGCACCAGTGGCACTCTCACGTTTTATAAAGAATCACAGTTTTGTTTGAAGTGGACTGTATTTATTCACTTTATCACTTGCTGCAGTGTTTTATCCCTTTGCATGATTATATGTACAAACCATCATAGATATATGGTCACGTTTTTTCCCCATAGGGGACCGGCAGGGGGTTCATCCTTGCATGCATGTTTATTTGTGTTATATATATAATTTTATGTATCAGTTTTGGCTTATGTTCATTTATATAATGGCATCTGTTTAGCGCTGCACCATTTTTTAATTTTCACTTATACACTTTTTGGTTTAAAGAGGGTGCTGGCTGCTTAAGTTTTTTTATTCATCTGAAGCGCAGGAGGTTTTAATTATATGTTTTCTTTCATGTTTTTATTTTAGACCCAGTGACATCATTGCTGGGTCTCTGCTTCCTTATGCAGGCAGATCATTGCTGATGGAAGAGGCTGGCAGGGTGCTGTACACAGCTGCCTAAAATCAAGAGACCTCCATGCCTCAGTACTCTCCAGTTGGCTGGCTCTTGCAAGGAAGTTGTGCAAATATCAATAATGCATTGATAGGTGGGTGTTATTGGAGAGGAAACTTCTATGCACCACTTGCAGGCAGACTGCCCTAACTAATAACCACATGTGATGCTGAGCCTTCATGATTGAAAGAACTGAAATTCAATGAATGAAAGAGGCAGGCAGACTGGGGAGGAAACAGCTAGATGGGGCTGGACATCCTCCAGCCAGGCAATGAGGCGGGCTCTATAGGATTTGTTGCAAGTTTTAGGCTTCATTCACACCTAAGTGTAGCAGGAACATGCGCTCTTGCTTGTGTTTTTTTTTTTTTTGCAGATTTTTCACACACATTGCACCTAGGGTTGCTCATTAACTTTCGATTGTGAAGCGCCAGGTGTTTATTCATTGGACATTTTGGAATGTTATAGCATGTTTTGTTGCACATCAAAACGCATGTCTGCTACCCACACTTAGGGTGTTCTTAAC